GGAATCGTTGGAAGATGGGCTTGGAGGGGGCAGGTGGGGAGGGGGAGTGAGGGGAGCGGCATGGGCACAGCCTGCCTTCCTGGGCCCAGGATAAAGAAGTTGTGAGGTTGCTCCGAGGGTCTTGGGTTCTAGGTTCCCCTTCTGCTCTTTCATGGGCCCCATCCCCAAGAATTATTCACTGGGTTTCGGAGCTGGTTCCTCCTTCGCACCCAAACTCCAGCTTTAATCTCAGAACAGAGACGAGGTCGGCATTTTTCCTGAACACCAGGGCTTTTGGAGTCACCCTTCTGTGTCCGTCGCCTCACGGTGGGCGTGGGGCCCATCAGAGGCCCGGGGACAGAGACATTCACGTGGAAGGTCAGAGCCCAGGTGGCTGGGTGCAGTGATGACGAAACTGGCCACCCCAGCGCTGGGCCTTCCAGACGTGGAGCATAACGGGGCTGGGCGTTCAGATGCGGACCAGCGGGAAAGCACAGGCCCACCGAAGTGTGAGTGATGGGAGGGCCGGAGACCTGCTTAGCGCCCCTTGGTGCTGAGAGAGCAGGGCTTTGAACTTAACTTCCCCGGGGCAGGAACGCGGTGAACAGCCACCCTCGGGTGGAGTGGGGGCGGCCTGAGGACCCGTGCTCGGGGGAGTGAGCCGGGTCAGCCGTTCTACAGAGTAAGGACGTTGCTGCCTGCTCACCCTGCGGAGGCTCTGCTCATTGGCGATGCTGCTTTTCAGGTCCCTCCGGACGGCTGGACACACGGCTGTCTGGGAGCATGCGCAGTGCTTCTCGTAGGTTTTCAGGAACTTTTGCAGACTCTGGACTACCGGCGGGGGAGTCCCTTTAGCGCTCCCTTTTCCTTCCTTTACCCTGGGCATCGTTCTAGGACGTCGGATTCCGAAAACAGTGACTGGCCCTGAAACCCAACACAGAATGGGCCCTTATATGTCTTTTTAAGGCACAGAACTTTCCTCTCCCTTCTTTGAAAAGCTTAACGTGCTTCATTAATGTTAAATGGGATAAGAGTCAGGATGCAGACGGCTAAACCGGACATAGTGCCTGGATGCCCAGCACCCGAGATGCTGCGGCGAGAAAATCACACGTTCTAGCCCAGGCTGGGCAACTTAGCGGCTTAGAAGACCCTGTGTCTTCTGTGTCTCAGAGTAAAAAGAGAAACATTTAAAAAGGGGTGGTGATGTAGCCCAATGAGAAAGCCCGGGGTTCAAAAAAAAAAAAAAAAATAGATAAAGGACTTGTTCAACCCAATTTCCATGAAATTGTGGGAAAAGTTACTTCCTTTAAAGTCTTTAAAATGGGATAGTAACTACGGACACAGCTCTAAAAGAATGCAGTTAACATTAAGACTTAGGGAGGGTGGGGATTTAGCTCAGCGGCAAAAGCGCCTGCCTGGCAAGCGCAAGGTCGTGAGTTCGGTTCCCGGTACCGGAGAAAAACAAAAACAAACAAAAAAAAGGCTTAGGGGCTGGGGATATAGCTCGGTGGCACAGTGCCTGCCTGGCAAGTGTGAGGTCCTGAGTTCAATTCCTGGTGCCAAAAAATAAATAAATAAAACTTGCTACTAAACACTACTGGGGACACACGGATTTAAAAATGGCATAATTCTCTTCATGGATACAATGCTTGCCAGGCAGCACGTTTATCACAGGGCAGACGTCATGGGCAACAGACTGGATTTTAGCCTCGTCTCTGTCACTGACTTAGTGGGTTGGTTTTAGGTAAGTTGTGAAGCCATAACTTTGTGTAAACACATAGAGAGCCCTTCCTGGTTCTTGTTGGGGGGCCCAGGAAGTTTACATTTGTGATCCCATGGAAAAGTCACTGGAATTCTATTGAGTTAATTCCAGTCTACCACTTCCAGTGCAAGCCATGGTGAGAATAAAGACACTGAGGCATATTTGCAGTTATGGGGAGCCCAGGGTCCTACGTCCAGTTGATTACGATGATAGCTATCCAGGACGAAGGCCTCCACGCAGGGCTGAACCTGGGTTTTACTCATTTGTGAAGGAGGGAGTGGCTTGAGGATGAGTGACTGTGAAAGTGGGGGAAGTAGTGAGTGCTGGGAGCTGGGTGAGGTAGGAGGCCTGAAATCACCTCTGCAGAGAGAAGGGTATGCAGAAAGAGTAGTCTGCATAACACAACTGAGATAGTAGCTAACGGTTTAGGGTCTGTGCTTCAGCTCTGATGTGTAATCTTCTAAGCCCTGGGAAGTCACAGCCTGGTATCTCGAGTCTGGATCCCAGCGACAGCGTGGAGCACTGGCTCTTCATCCTGCCTCACACAGGAGGATCACTGCAAGTTCGAGGCCAGCCTGGGCTACACAGTGAGCTCAAGGCCAGCCTGAACTGTATGGGGAGACCCTGTCTCAAAAAGAAATAAAAAAGACATCCTGCTTCACACATGGAGCAACAGAGGGCTGGAAAAACACTGCCCTGTCATCTTTGCTTTAAGGCCTACAGATCATCCCCTTGGCTGGACTGATATGCATTGCTTAAAGCCAACGGAAGGGCTAGTCAGCTCTGTACATATCAATACATGGAAATAGGATCAGGCTCAGACAAAATGGAGACAATTGCTCTTCCTTCAAGGAGAGCCGCCCAGGTGGTCCTCCACATAAACACTTTGTGAAAAACACGCTGCACAATTCTTGGCACATAGTGGAAGTATCTAATAAATTTTATATTTTATGATTATTATTATTATTCCAGTAGCCATGGCAAGCCACCCAAGTAGTACTGATTTTATCTCTTAAAATAGCCAGCACTAAAATGAGTGTAAGGTTATGATGGGCTCTCTGAACTGACTTCACAGAGATCAAGGTTTATGGGAATTCAAGTTTTCCCATATAGAAAATTTCCAGCTGCAGACAATCCAAAAATGTTTGTGGTCTTCCATGAAAAAGGGCTCTTCTTTTTGAGTTTGAGCACTCGAAGGAGACTAGTCTGTTCAGGAAAGCAAACTTCAAAAGGAACCTGGCTAGCAGGGTGTGGTGGTACACACCTGTATTTCCAGCACTCAGGAGGCTGAGACATTGGGATTGCCGTGAGTTGAAGCCAGCCTGGACTACATAGCAAGGTCCTATCTATCTATCTAAATAGATAGATAGATAGATAGATAGATAGATAGATAGATAAGCTTTGTAAACTCACTTTCCCACCTACATGGCTGCACCATGCCCTCTTTCCACCCAGGAGACAGTAGTGTTTTTGAACTATAAATCAGCTCATGTGACTCTTTTGGTTAAATCTCTCCAATGGCTTCCTGACACATTTATCTTTATTGAATTTTATATGCTCATTCTATCAGTTATTGAGAGATGTATATGAATGTGAACGTGTCTCTCTTTGTCATTCATCCATTCTGCCAATTTTGCTTTATATATTTTGAAGCTATGTTATTAGGTGCCTGTATTTTACAACTGAAAATTTTCCTGGGAGATTCTTTCTTTTGTTATTTTTTAATATAGTGGACCCTGACTTACAAAAGCTATTCATTCACAAGGGCTGGTTATAACTCAAGTTGGTTGTAAGTCAAGATGATTTTTCCCAGAAGAAATAATGGAAATAACCATAAAGCATTTCGAATCTCCCAAAGTATCCTTTTCGTAATAACCTTTTCATAATAAAAACTTACAGAGCACTGTGGAATATTTTAGATTTTCAAGAGAAAGCCAGCAACATCTGTTAGATGCCATGTGAACTAGCGCTGAAGGTAGTTCACAATTTCAAATTACACCACACATGTATCAGCATCCTACTGCTGTGTAACAAATTATCTCATCATGAGTGACAAGCATCCTGAAGGGGGAATGGACCTAGGAGAATGTAGTGACACTCAGGAACTAGGGTTAGGGAAAAAGCCACAGTATTACAGCTCTATTTGGGACCAACAAGTACTGGTCAAACCAGAAGGGGTTCACTCCGCCTCTCCTGCACTCATGCTGTCAACCAAGTATAGCCTCAGACTTCTGTGCTTCAGGCAGCAGCTGCAGAGCAACCAGGCTGGATAGCTGCCTGAGACCTATTTCCCATCTTGGGCCTGGTGAACCTTTTAAAACATATTTATGTAACCGAGCGTGGTGGCACACGCCTGTAATCCCAGCACTTGGGAGGCTGAGGCAGGAGGATCGCTGTGAGTTTGAGGCCAGCCTGGGCTACAAAATGAGCTCAAGGCCAGCCTGAACTGCAGAGTGAGACTCTGTCTCAAAAAAAGACAAAAAAAAAAAATTTATTTATTTATGGTCTTTGAGACACACCATGTAGTTTGAGCTGGCCTTGAATTTATGCTATGGCCCAGGCTGGCCTCAAACTCATGGCTATTCTCCTGCCTTGGATTACAGGTGCATGCCATCACACCCAGCTTTAATTTTTATTTTTATTAGTACACGTTTGCGGTACATAATGATTACCTTCACTATGGGGAGCTGGTGTGTGTGTACACACATCTTAATTCTTTTTTCATCCCCTTCCTCTCCCTCCCTCTCTTGGTTTTCTTCCCTTTTGCAAAAGCTCTATCTCCCTCTTTCCTAGTTTGTATTTTTTATTTGCTCTTCAATGTATTTACAACTTCAGGTTTCTCCTGTAGGAGACACTCATGTGATAAGCTTGTGTGTCTGATTTAGTGAGGCCCACAAAGAAAGGACTGGGTCCCAGCTGAGAACAGAACTAGGTCTCCTGGCTCCTAAGGCTCTTTCTTTTCTTCAAGGTTGGGGACGGAAGCCAGGCTTCACACATGGCTCTGCCACAAGGTCGCGCTGGGTGACCATCTCAGCTGATTCTCATCATTTGGCAATTGGCAAACACCGGCATGGCACCCAGGATGGCAGCACATGGTGGAGAGAGAGTCGTCTGGGCTTTGGGTCAGAGGAGCTGCTTGAATCCTGTGTGCATCGGTTGCTAGCTTCTCCCTTCTCTGTAAAAATGGGAACGAGGCTTCTCCGTGCCCCTGCCCCCACCCCAAGCCCTGAGAAGGAGCTTCGGGATGAAGTCTAGAATGCCGGCATCTCACACTTCCGGCCTCCAGAACTGTGAGGAATAAACTTCTGTTCCTTACACTAGCCGGTCTGTGATATTTTGTTACTTCAGCCCAACAACGTTAGACCATGTATGTATTAGAATCCTATTGCTACTGGGAATTATTGGAGTTTTCCATCTAGAGACTGTCCAAAATGTTTATTACCTTACACCAGAATGGGCTCTTTTGGGGGGATCTGTGCCTGGCGGAACACCCCAAAGAAACCAGGAAGGGAAATATCAGAAAAAAAGAAAACATCAAAGAAAAGCAAACATCAAAAGGAATCTGACTTTGACAAGCAGAAAAATACATATTCCTGTTTGCATGAAGGAGCATCTCCCACCAGCCTTCTCTGAGTATTTACAAATGCATAAACTACACGCATAGATTCAGCAAGAGCTGTTTTAAGACAAGACTTTTCTGTCATTTCTGCATGAGGTACATGTTATGGCCAGGGTTAGCAAACACGGGTGCTCTAAGCCAGCGCTGACGGGTTGGACCCTAGATGAATGTTACTGAGGTAAAGTGCAGGACCGCAGCTGGGCCAGGCTTTGCTCATCTCATCTGAAGGTGGTTCCTAGTGTGCTAGAGACTGGACTACAGCCAGGCGTGGTGGCGCACACCTGTAATCCCAGCACTTGGGAGGC